GGACTCTGCAGGCTTACCTTGCTGCTGGGGGCGGGGGGGGGGGATTGCGGGGCTCCTTCCTGCCGAAGTGCTGCTCTGGTGTGCTCCGGCAGGAAATGACCCCTGGTTGCAAGAAGAAATAGTGATATGCAAGTATGCTGTACTAAGTAACTGTTGAAAAGAGGAACAGAAGGAAATCAGTTTGATGAAAGAAATAAGATGAAAAGTAAGAATCCCTGATACAAATACCATATAGATGATTACCGTTCTTATTTTTCCACATGTAGCGAGATCCACCAGAAGAAGAGATCCCGTTTTGCACTTTGAAGTCTTTCCCAGCGGCCACTGAGCACACGATACAGTGGGCAAGAGACAAGGTAAGTTTCTGGTAAGCACAGCTGAGCTAGAAGGTCTCCCACACAAATCCCCCCGAAAGAGGAGTAGCCACGCTCTTGCGTAGCTCCTGTTCATTACAGTGGGATCCTTCTTGTTGTTAACTGTGTCCCTTATGTAGATGGGGGGGTGGGGGGTGGGAAGCAGAAGCATTGCTCATAACTTTTCTTTTTGTTGTAGTTCGAAAGTGCTTTTACGCACAAGCCTTCACTCTTCAACAAGTTCTGGCAAACCTATCAATCAGCAGAAGAGGTATTACAGGTAACTGATGTTTATTTTTTATGAAGCGGCCACGTGGGTGTTTGTGACTGTTTCTGGTAAACCTGACATGTAGTTGACGGTAATGATCAGCATCATATCATCATGCTTTCAAATTCCTCCAGTGGGTCAGGCGTACAAAGGATGAACTCAAGTCGCCACCAGAATTCCAACTCATATGAAAAGTGGCTGAAATTCACAGTATAAATGGAGTTTACTGTGAATCCCTTCAAGGGCTTTCTCCTCCTAACTGTGGTGTGTTTCTAGATCTTTTGTTGTTCCAGTTTGAAGCACAACAGGGAGAAAACTCTTAAAGGGAGAACTTCAGAATATTCTATTTGATTGTACATACTAGAGAACTGCAATGACCTGAGAGCAGGAATTGAATCATGACCTGGATTCCGTCTCATTAGTTCATGTAAAGAACAGTTGATGGTTCACTTGAGAATAGCTCTTTAGCTTTTCTCCGTAGTTCTTAATGTATAAAATGCTTCATGTATACATGGGAGTCCTGACCTAGATGGCCCAGGCCAGCCCAACCTTGCCAGGGGCTCAGCAGGGGCGGCCCTGGTTAGTACTTGGATGGGAGACCTCCAAGGAAGTCCAGGGTCACAATGCAAAGGCAGACAAGGGCAAAGAACCTCTCAATGTCTCTTGCCCATGAGGGGTCGCCATAAGTTGGCTGCGACTTGGCAGAAAAGCAACAGCAACAACCACAACCAGGGAAATGTTCAGTGAGTACACAACACAGTTGTGTTTGTACCATGTAAGTACATGTTCTGGGGAGCAGCAGCTGGTTATAGTTTGCTTGTGGTAGTAAGCAGGTGCTGGCTTCCACATATAGTATGAAGTTAAAGATATATTTTTGAGAGCAAATTTAAACATCATGGGCTAAACAACACCTCAAGACTGTGAGACCGTCGTGGGAAAAAAATATTTTTATGTATTTATTTTTGAGATTTTTATTCCTCCTTCCCCAAAGTGGGCTCAGGGCAGATGACAAAATCCAGCTCCAAAACTCATTACAATAAAATCACATTACAAACAGTTAAAACCCTAACAATAAAAATCCATCTACGTAGCAAGAGTTCTGTATCTGTTCAAGCCGCAGGTGGAACTAGAGGGCCCTTTCAGCAGACTGGGAGCCAGACTGAGAGCAGGGAGGCCAACTGTGAGGGACGCCCGCCACCTCAACCAAAGGCCTGGCGGAAGAGCTCAGTTTTGCAGGCCCTGTGGAATGATGAAAGGTCCTGCAGGGCCCTGATCTACAATGAGAGCTGATTCCACCAGGCCAGAGCAGAAAAAGCCCTAGCCCTGGACGAGGCCAAGCCGACATCCCTCGGACCAGGGGTAACCAGCACATGTTGATCCTGTGAGAGCAAGGCTCTTCAGGGCACTTATGGGAAGAGGTGGTCCTTCAGATATGTTGCTCCCAGGCCTTGCAAGGCTTTGAAGGTTAATTCCAACGCCTTGGATTCAACTGGTAGCCGGGATGGGCATGGGTCAGGGAGGGAAGTGGTTGGCCTCACAGCTGCTAGAACCCTGCCAGCATCCTCCTGAGAGAGCCAGCAGAAATGGTCCAACGTAGGACCTGAAGACGGACAAGGGGCTTCCAGTTCCTTTACTGTATCAATAGTGGTTGGGAGGTCCTGGCGGAGTGACAAGACTTTATCAGCAAAATATGTCACAAAAGCCTCACAGCCTGCTTCCAATTCCCTAGCATTTGGTTCGCCTTGTGGCAGTGAGCTTAATGACTGAATGGTTCTAAATAATTGGGCTGGGTGTGACTTTGCTGACACAATGGAGGCCGCACAGAACTCTCTCTTTGTGGACTTTAGTGCCATTTCATAGGCCTTCATAAATGACCTCTAATATGTTCTTATCACTCTGTCACGAGCACGCTGCCACACTCGCTCAAGCCATTTCAGCTCTCGCTTCATTCTCCGCAGCTCCGGGGTAGACCTTGAGGCAGCTTTGGTCCAAGGGCAGAGAGGCCACTGGGGAGCGATATTGTCAATTGCTCCAGAGAGCTGGGAGTACCAGTCCTCCACTGGGGGGCATTGGATCCTGCAGAGCAGCCTGAAGCCAATCAGTGTCCATTTGGCTCTGCGGGCAAGCATAAATGCTCTCGCCACCTAAACAGGGAGGGTTTGGCATGCCCAGCCGAACCTTTAGGGTCTAGTGTTCTGACTAGGGCTGCCAAGTCTCGTTGAATCGCGGCGGGGGATCGTCATTCTTCACAGGAGCTCTGTGTTGGATCCCCAAGCATCGAGAATAAATCCACGTTTTCAAGAAAAAGCAAAATTTATTTCAAAGCGTTGAAGACATACTCAAACACGTTCTTTGTTAGAACTGGGGATACACAGTTAGGTCAAGCATAATAAAGGAAATTCAAACAGATACAGATCCAATGAATAACATTCCCGCTGGCGGGCTAATGAAACGGTTGCGCGCCCAGTCCATGGGAACCAGGCAGAACATCAGACAAAACACAGGTGCAGTACTCATGAGAAAAGCAATAGGCAAGCATTACAGCATCTTCTCCCCCACACAACCTCCAGCAGTTATCTTGTGCATTCCAACGCAGGAGCAGAATGATAGAAAACAAGCCGGGTGCAACAGGGAAAGGATATGTACACAGAGGTCACAGAAAACAGAATGGCAGCTTGCTGACATACTGCCCCCCTTAAAATACACTTACAACACACCTCCCGGGTCGGGCGGGAGATCTCCCGGGCTGGGCGGGAGACCTCCCGGTTTGTCCGGGAACCTCTTGTGGAAACTACGGATCAGGTAAGGGGCCCGAATATCCCCTTCTTCCACCCATTCGCGGTGCTGGGGACCGAAATCAACCCATTCGATAAGGTACCAGAGTTTACCACGTTTCAATTTACAATCAAGGATATCAGCGATCTCAAAATGTTCATCCCCTTCCAAAATGACAGGTGGAGGAGGAGTAACTGCTGGTCTCCAGGGAGACGGGCCAGGATCCTTCTTCAACAGGCTCATGTGAAAAACAGAATGCAGAGCACGTAAATTCTTAGGCAAAACAACATCAACCGCCACATCATTTATGACTTTACGCACTTTGAATGGACCAATGAACTTCCACCCCAATTTCCTGCTAGGTCGCAGCATCTTAATGTTCTTGGTCGAGACATACACAAGATCCCCAGGTTTCAGATCAAACCCCACCACCCTACCCTTGTCTGCCTGGGTCTTGTAAGCAGCCTTGGCTGCGTCAAGCGTTTGGCATAGCAGAGGCCATGCATTTTGCAAGGACATACACCATGTATCAGCATCCCCCACAGGACGTTGGCCCATCCCCTCCAGGAAAGGGAGGGGGGGCTGTCGTAACCAGAGACAGCTTTATAAGGAGACATGCCCGTGGAGCTATGGACAGTATTGTTATAACAATATTCAGCAAGAGGCAACAATTCACACCAATCATTCTGTTGATAATTAGTAAAACAACGAAGATATTGCTCCAGGGTCTGATTAACTCGTTCTGTTTGTCCGTCAGTCTCAGGATGATACGCGCTGCTGAGCCCTTGTTCCACCCCTAAAATGGAAAGAAGTTCCCTCCAAAACTTAGAAACAAATTGGGTCCCCCTGTCAGAAATTAATTTAGCAGGTAATTGATGAATTTTCACCACGTGAGACATAAACGATTTCGCCAACCTCTGAGCTGTAGGCAAGGAAGGAAAAGGCACAAAATGAGCTTGCTTAGAAAATAAATCAACAACCACCCAAATAACAGTGTTCCCTTTGCTCGCAGGGAGGTCAGTAATAAAGTCCATGGACACCACTTCCCACGGTCTCGATGGGGTAGGGAGTGGCTGCAGAAGACCAGGAGGCTTGCCCACTCTGGGTTTAGTCAAGGCACAGGTTTGGCAGGACCGAACAAAAGTCAAGAGGTCTTTGCGCATCTGTGGCCACCAGAACTGTCTGCGGATGAGTTGCAGAGATTTAACAAAACTCCAATGCCCTGCCAGTTTCGAACCGTGAGCAGACTCCATCACCTCCCTCCTCATTGAAATAGGCACATACAGTTTGTCTCCAGAATAAATCAGACCTTCAGGGCTACGGACACAATCTGGCAACGCTTTCAGGGAGGCATCATCATCAGCAGTAAAAGCAGACATATATTTCTGGACCCAGCCCCCCCCCCCCCAGGGAAAAGGGAAGGCGAAGTTTCATCAGAGCGCGGAATCGAGCGCGCTTGCGCACGGGTGACCACAGCCCCCCCCAGGTGGGAGGGGGAAAAAACAGAGTCCATGATGATTTCACGCTGACTGTCATGTTGTGGGAGGCGTGAGAGCGCGTCAGCCAGGGAATTAGCCGTCCCAGGGAAATGACGAAGAGTGAATCGAAACTTAGCAAAGAAGTCCGCCCAACGAAGTTGTTTAGCGTTGAGAGAACGGGGGGATTTCAGCATTTCCAGATTTTTATGGTCAGTCCAGACTTCAAATGGCAGTTGCGCCCCCTCCAACCACTGCCTCCAAGTGGAGAGAGCCAGCCGGATCGCTGATGCCTCCTTCTCCCAAATCCCCCAGTTTCGTTCAGCGTCAGAAAACTTTTTAGACACAAATGCGAGGGGGTGTAAACGACCATCTTCCCCTTCTTGCAAAATAGCGGCCCCCATTGCCACATCCGAGGCATCAGTTTGGACAATGAATTTTTTAGTTTCATCAGGGCGCGCCAGCACTGGCTCAGAGGTGAACATCAGTTTAAGTTTCTCAAAAGCCTCTGCGCAAGCAGGGGACCATTTAAGCGGGGCGCCTGGTTTCGTAGCATCAAACCCCTTCCCCTTGGTCTTTAGCAAATCAGTCAGAGGAAGGGCAATTTGAGCGAAATTCTGGATGAAATTTCTATAAAAATTGGCGAATCCGAGGAACATTTGCAATTGTTTGCGGGTCCTGGGGGGTTCCCAGTCAAGTACAGCCTGTATTTTAGCAGGGTCCATTTCCACCTTCCCCCCAGAGATGCGATAACCCAAAAAGTCAATGCATGTCTTGTGGAATTCACATTTTGACAGCTTTGCAAACAGGTGGTGTTCATAAAGTCGCTTAAGGACCTGGCGCACCAATTTAATATGCGACGGGAGGTCCTGAGAGTACAGCAACACGTCATCAAGGTAAAGGACCACTCCTTTGAACAAGAACTCATGTAGGACCTCATTGATTAGGTTCATGAAGACCCCCGGAGCCCCTTGAAGCCCGAAGGGCATAACGAGGTACTCAAACTGCCCCAAAGGGGTATTAAATGCAGTCTTACTTTCATCCCCCTCCCGAATGCGCACACGGAAATATGCATCTCGGAGGTCAAGTTTCGAGAAGATTTTGCCCTTGGTGGCCTCAGCTACCAAGTCCTTGATTAGCGGGAGGGGGTAGGCATTGGACAAAGAAACAGCGTTCAGACCCCTATAATCAGTGCACAATCTAAGCCCCCCGTCTTTCTTCTTTCGGAAAAGTACAGGCGCGGCGAAAGGGGAGGAAGCCGGGCGAATGAAACCTCGGGCTAAGTTTTTATCAATAAAGTTCCGCAGTTCAACTTTCTCAGCCGGCCCCATCGCATAGATTTTACCTTTAGGTAATTTACAGTCAGGCAAAAGTTCAATAGCACAGTCAGTAGAGCGATGGGGGGGCAATTCGTTAGCTTCATCTTCGCCAAACACTTTCGCCAAGTCTCTATACTCTCGAGGCAAAGAAGCTAACTCTTCCGGCTGCAAAGCGCCGCAGGGGAACTGTGCGGTCGGCTGGTCCCCCCACGAGTCCAACCAGCAGTGATCTACACATTTAGCCGACACAAATTTGACAACCCCTTCTTCCCACAAGATGTAAGGGTCATGGGTAAACAACCAGGGACTCCCCAGTACTAAGTCAAACTGCGATTTAGGGGTAACAATGAAGGATCTGGATTCCCAATGATCGCCAGCCCCCAACCGCAAAGCCATAGTCTCGTGTGTACAAGGTTCCATGGGTGCCCCATCCATTTGGGTAAAAATGATGGGAGACTTCAAGGGGACTATCCCCGCTTCCAGTGCCAATAACACTCTAGGGCTGATGAGATCCCTCCCACACCCAGAATCAATCAACGCTCTCACCCTAACGTGGGTCCCCAGGAGCGGATTCATTAACGAGACAGTCACGAAAAACAGGGAAGGGGTTTCTCTCACCACCTTGGGCGCAGAGCTAGAATGGCCGTGTCGTTTTGCGCCTCTCACAACAGGCCGTTGTCGTTTTCCGCCGTTTCAGCCACCACCTCCTCTTCTGACTCGGCAGCAGACGGTTCGATTCCCTCCAGGCCTTGGGCCGCCTGCAGAGCTTTGGAGAAACGCGGTTTAGCCATCCCCTTCTTCCCCGTCAGCGGTGTCTTCGGGCTTGGAGTAGGCGGCTTGTCTTTTACCTGACGGCTGCCACAATCCACAGCGAAATGCCCCTTCTCCCCGCACTTGAGACAGAGCCCCATCTTCATACGTAGTTCTCGTGCCGATTCCGACAGGCGTTGAGTCTTGGGTCTGGAGGCACTGGCAGCGGCGGGTCTGTTGGTCGTAGCAGCCAAGTCGAGTTTGATGGTGGTGAGCCGATCCTCTGCATTTTCAGCTTCCTGGGTCCAGGCCATCAGGGAGACAGGATTGACAGTCTTCAGAACCGTTTCTCGGATGTCTGCGTTGAGTCCCAATCGATACATCTCAGCCAATATATGATCAGGGTAGTCTCGGAGCTTTGCTGCCTGCTTGTGGAATTCCAGTGTGTACTCGCGAACCGACTTCTTATTCTGGCGGTAGGTGCGGAGAAACGCTTTAGCTCTTTGGCTCGCGTTGACATCTTCAAACCTCGCCCGCAGCGCCCACATGAATGCTCGCAAATTCAAAAGTTCCGGACCGCGGTCATTGTGCAGTCCAACATACCATGTGGCGGCGTCTCCTTTTAGTCTTGCCGAGATGACATCAATAAGACCAGCTTCATTTCGGAACAGGTGTCGGCTCTCTTCTACGAATTTATGCACTCTCACCGTGAAGAAAGCGAGTTCATCTGGGTTGCCGTCAAAGGTAGCCTCCAGTAGATCTTTGGGTCTGGGCCATGGAGGCCGTACCAACGGTCCCAGCTGACCCGGAACTCCCCTGAGAGGGAGACCCGGACCAACCGGTGGCCCCGCTGGCATTGGCCTCATCGGTGGCGGCAGACCCGGCACCGGCGGACCCCCCGGCATCGGCTGTTGCACAGGCCCTTGCTGAGGCGGTCCCGCCGGCGGCTGGACAGGCACCTGCGGCGCGGGAACTCCCGGTACTTGCAGCGGAGGTCCCGTCGGCGGCTGAGCAGGCACCTGCGGTGCGGGAACTCCCGGTGCAGGGACAACTTGTTGCTGCGCGGCGTGTGCGTCAAGGAAATTAGCCATTCTAACGTCCATCATTCCCGGCAGAGCTTCCATTACATCCTGGAATGTCCTCAACAAGTCCCTCACCGAGTATTCCAGTTCTGCCAGTCGTTCCCCGGTGGTTTCCTCCGGGATGGGGTCCCGAGGTCGATAGTCCGGGGGTGGGTCATAGTCCTCTTCCGTTTGGAAGGCTCCGGTGCCCTCCTCATCCTCTGCGTGGCCTCGCGGCCCCGATGGCTCGAACATCCACTCCTCGAGGTCTTGCTTGGAACTCCCCTTCTCCGAGGTAGTCCCCGGCTCCGGGAACAATCCCTTGTCAAACAGACTCTCACGTAATCCGCTCCCCCGACGGGAGTACACCTCTCGGGTGCCCTGAGTGTTGTACATAGTCCAGTCATCCTGCTGTTGAGTCTTCCGCGGACCCCAGTGCGAAGGGGTCGGAGGCGGCCAAGACAGATGTGCAGGCAGGCGGGGAATCGTTCCCCCCACGGCACCCTCCACCGAGGCTGCAGTCGTGAACACCAAAGGAGCGGAGGTATGTGGGACCGATCCTGAGTCCCCCTCCGTGTTAAGTAGGTTTCCCTCAGTTCCGCTCATGATCTTGCCAGATTCGGAACGATAGGAGAAAGAGAGTTCTAACAATATGTTGGATCCCCAAGCATCGAGAATAAATCCACGTTTTCAAGAAAAGCAAAATTTATTTCAAAGCGTTGAAGACATACTCAAACACGTTCTTTGTTAGAACTGGGGATACACAGTTAGGTCAAGCATAATAAAGGAAATTCAAACAGATACAGATCCAATGAATAGCATTCCCGCTGGCGGGCTAATGAAACGGTTGCGCGCCCAGTCCATGGGAACCAGGCAGAACATCAGACAAAACACAGGTGCAGTACTCATGAGAAAAGCAATAGGCAAGCATTACAGCATCTTCTCCCCCACACAACCTCCAGCAGTTATCTTGTGCATTCCAACGCAGGAGCAGGATGATAGAAAACAAGCCGGGTGCAACAGGGAAAGGATATGTACACAGAGGTCACAGAAAACAGAATGGCAGCTTGCTGACATACTGCCCCCCTTAAAATACACTTACAACACACCTCCCGGGTCGGGCGGGAGATCTCCCGGGCTGGGCGGGAGACCTCCCGGTTTGTCCGGGAACCTCTTGTGGAAACTACGGATCAGGTAAGGGGCCCGAATATCCCCTTCTTCCACCCATTCGCGGAACAGGCGTTGCACCGCCGTGGGATGTGACGCTATGCGTCGCTCTGGCAACGGGACTCCAAACAGCCCTGTTGCCAGAGCGACACGTAACGTCACATCCTGGCAACGGCGGTGCAACGCCTGTTGCCGTCCCCCGCGGCAGAGCTCCTGTGAAGAATGACGATCCCCCGCCGCGATTCAGCGAGACTTGGCAGCCCTAGTTCTGACCATGGGACATCAGCAATCACCAGCTCCACAATAATCCCCATCCCCAAAATCAAGTCCAGCGTGTGGTCTGCTTGATGCGTGGGGGCCAATACAAACTGGGAGAGTCCCAGTGCCTCCATGGACAACACTAGATCCATGGCCTGAGAAGATGCCGCATTGTCAATATGGACGTTGAAGTCCCCCAAGACTAAAAGCCTGGGGTGTTTCAATGCCCATCTGGATGCTGCATCTAACAGGTTAGACTGGGTATCTGCTAGTGCATTAGGTGGTTGGTACACCAATCAGATAGCCAAACTTTCCTCAGCCTCCCACGCCAGGTCAACACATTAAGTGTCAGCGATTTTTGGTGTGGGGAGTGCCCTAAAGGAAAAAGATTCTCAGATGAGCAATGCTACACTGGTGCAGGACCGAGAACCCAGGTGGGGGCAAGTTGGTTAAGGGCAACAGTTTTGCCCTCCCGCACCCAGGTCTCAGTCACACAAGCCAGGTCTACATTTTGCTCTGTGAGATATTCTCGCAGAACAGAGGTCTTGTTTGTAAACTAGGTCATTTTATCTTAGGTATTGAATCACTGATCTCCAAGCAGTGTGTAATTTTTCCTTTTAACTTCTTTTTTTGCATCCTAGAGAATAAAGTCCGGAGAGAGTTTGGAAGGCTCTTTTCAAGTGATCAAATGCCTCAGCAGAAGACCACGAAACTGGCAACAGTGTGTTGAACTAGCAAGATTAAAATTCGAGAAGTATTTTAATCATAAGGTGAGTGTTTGAGATCTGTTTAAGTCTGGCTGATGCTCAGTTGATGATTTTTTAAAAGAGCATGGTTCTCTACTTAGTCTCTCTCTCACACACACAAACAAACATGGTCCTTTCCAGTTCTCTGAGCAAAAAAGTAAACCACATTTACTTAAACATTTAGGTGGAACTGTGCTGTATCCTTTCACTTTGGTTTGTAGTAGCGTATAAATTATTGAATGCCAACAGATACCATGGATGACGTGTGTGTGTGTGTGGGGGGGGGTACTGGACGGGGGAGATGCTCTTTTCATCCCACACGCCATTTCATCTCCTGTGGCCGGAACCCATTTAAGGCTTTATTAAACTTTATTCCAGCAATCCTTAGTGTGTGTCCAGATGTTGTCATCAAAAGGAGTCTGCTTGAGTGCTGGGGTATTCCTAGTCCTGCATCTCTGTTTGTAGGCCTGGTTCTACAGCACTAGACCTTGCCCCAGAGCATCTGAAGGAAGGGTCGGGTAATATGGTCCATTTACAGTTGTGCAAGTGAATTTTTAATTGAGTGCAGAAGGTGTACACGAATGGAAGGGGCTGCCTTGCTGGAACAGGCTAAGGTCTGCCTCACCCAGGTGTTTCCGAAGAGACTCCGGAATGGGCCTTCTCAGTATCCAATGCCCAGAAGGAGACTTGGCTTAGCTGACACAGCTAATGTATTTTGAGCAAGAAATTGGATACACTGTGCTTCATTGGAATTAAATGCATTTTCCCCCAATTGAAAATATATCAATATTATCAGAAATCTTGTATTCTAAAAATGCTTTTGTTCCTTGAGCATCAGGATTCTGAGTTCATGATGACTTCTTGCAGGGAAGAATTTAAAATAAGCTCAGTACAGCAGCGTGTTCTGGCCTGTGATGAACTGACTGTATTCAGGGTGTTTCTTTCTCATCTAGGCGCTCCAGTTGCTTCATTCATTTCCCCTTGATACCCGATTAAAAGATGGCAGTAAGTACAGTAAACACTGAAACTCATTTTGGTGGGATTGACTTTCTGTATTTCACTTTGTTGCTGTTAATATTCAGGTTGCTTTCTTTCCAACGGCCAGGTCTGTTTTGGCAGTCACCGAAGAGGCCACCTTTCCCCATTCGATTTGATTTCAATGACACTTTGTGAGTAATTGTTTTTTTAAAAATAATAATCATAATGGTATGGGGCAGTGGTGGGCAAACTCATTAGTCAAGAGAGCCAAATATCAACAGTACAACGATTGAAATTTATTTTGAGAGCCAATTTTTTAAAACTATATAGGTAGGTACATTGTTATCAACTTAATTAGGGTACTCCTAAACTGGCCTTTGCTAAAAATGTCCTCAGTCTGATTGAGGTACGTTCGCTGAGGTCGACCCCTTCCAACTCTCCCATCCACACTCGTATACTTGTTTCATCTCCTTTCGTTCATCCTCTCTATATGTCCAAAGTATCCATAAAATTAAATCATGACAAAATAAATCATGACAAACACTAATGTGAACAATGGCCTTGCATCTCCTTGGAAAGTTTGGATAAGTCAGGTTTGTATGTTGTTGTTTTTAATTTTAGGCATGCACTAGAGAGCATCAATATGTATGGCCAAGCTGGACCAGATTCAAGGTTCTTAGCTAGCAGCTAGCATTCTGTTCCCAACTGCAGCCTTCCAGAGACCTCTGGAAGCTCAAAGAGCTGTTTGCCCTCCCCCATTCTCTCAACAGCATTTCATATTAAGAGGTTCAGTGTCCCTGAATGCAAGCTTGATTAAGTTCACAATATATTTCATCTCTACGGGTTCCCCCCCCCCCAACTTCCCACCCACATCTTGTGGCAGTGGCTTTCACAAGTTAATTGGGCGGGGGGGGCAGTTTTCAGAAGCCCGCAACAGTCATCCTTCCTACCCAGCTCAGCTGTTTCAAGCACGCAACACTGAAAGCAGAGTCGACAAAAAGTGGCCACTCAAAGTTCCCTCTAAGCTGAGTTAGTGTGGGCTAGCTCACAGTTCTTTAGCCTCCGGCTCACACATTTTTGTCTTAGCTCAGGAAGGATGGCTCCAGAGCAAACTCATTTATGCAGTAGTAGCCAAATCGCTCGCTCACAGCTTTCATGCCAGGAGCTCATGAAGTAGAATCTTTGCTCACAGGGCTCCACAGCTTGGAGGGAGCACTGAAACACCACAATGGGCAAGTAGTCTTGCAGAGTCGCACAGGACACCTCCAAGTAAATATGGGTGGGTTGTTTTAAAGGGGCATCCATCCACACTAAATCTTTGGAAGCACATTGCAATAAAGCCCCTACAACTGTATACAGAAATACCGAGCTTCCCTACCATTTGCCACAACTAGCCCACCACACAACCAGGATCAAGACTCCTAAGTGGACCAACAGACAGGCATACACTCGTTTGAGAAACTATTACCTTATAGCACC